TACTACTCTTCAGCTAAGTACTGTACCTTCAGTTGTTATTTCCCTCCATTCAGATTGGCCTCTCCCTGAATAGTCGGTACCTCCCCACATCCTGTCCCTTTGTCCCTGTTTCCTCCACCTACAGCACTCTTCCCCATACCTCGGTGTTTCAAAATCCTCCCTGTCATTTAAGACTAACTCAAATACTGAGTGACTCTATCATGAATAGTTTTCTGATCCCATCAGCTGGAAATATATTCTTCTTCTTCATATGTACTGTTTAATAAACATTTAATGAGTGGCTACCATTGTTTAGCATCAGGCACTGAGAGTACATTGATATTATAACAGCACAGTCTCTCAATCATTCCTGATGCAGCATATATTTATTATCTACTATATACCAGTTACAAAAGTTACAAGAGCAAACAGGATACAGTCCTTGCACTCAATGGGCTTTGACTGTCATGGAAGAGCAGCTGTTGGTTAAGGCAATCTTAACCTAGCATGAGACTGTAATTGGTAGGATGAGGACTCAGTATTCCTGGGTCCCAGCCTGAATGCTATTCCCAGAAGTCTGTGGCTGCCTGGGGCAGGACCACCATGAGGAAGAAGAGCCAGACTGTTCCTTGTGGGGCCTTGGGCCACTAAGGCAGCACGGGATAAATAAAGGAACAGTGGAATTGGTCAGGTACACCTGGGCTCACATTCTCTACCTCCGCTTACTGTCAGTGTACCCTCTGAGTATTAATTAGTGACCTCAACTCTTCAAGATGAATAATAGTATCTGGCTACAAGGTTACTGTGGGAAAAGAATCTGAAAATACCTGGAATAGATTTGATATGTGTCAGTTCTTCTACTGATATCAGCACTTTTTTTCTTCCCAAATTAACGATATTAACTTGATCAGACCCTGTTCTATGTCATTACCAGTACTTCAAGTTTCTTCTGTAGGGCACCAGGTAGGCACATGGATGGATTTCTTAGCCAATTCTGACTTTTCTTTTTTTGAGATGGAGTTTCGCTCTTGTTGCCCAGGCTGGAGTGCAAACTGCCTCCTGGGTTCAGGAGATTCTCCTGCCTCAGCCTCCTGAGTAGCTGGGATTATGCTAGAACAGGCTCCAAGACTGACCATAAACAAGATCTCTGCAGCACTGTGACATGCTCATGATGGCTATAATGCTCACGTTGGAGGTTGCTGGTTTACCGGAATGAGGGCAAGGAACACCTGGCCCACCCAGAGCAGAAAACCGCTCAAGGCGTTCCTAAATCACAAACAATGGCATGAGCAATTAAGGACATGTTCCTGCTGCAGATAACTAGCCAGAGCCTGTCCCTTTGTTCTTGTGAAGAATACTTTCAGTTAATCTATAAACTGCAGAAATGATGTTCATCTCTGGCTTACTGTCAATAACTAGGTGGGTCAAACTCTGTTCCAGGCTCTTGGCTCTGAAGGCTGTTAGCCCTGCCCCCCATCCCACTTTGCACTCTATTTCTGTGTCTGTGTCTTTATTCCTCTAGCACCGCTGGGTTGGGGTCTCCACCACGGAGCTGGTCTCGGCAAGCAGCACCCAAATGCGGGGCTCAAACCCCGGTTGAAAGGTCACCGAAGGGATGGTTGGAGAACATGGAACTATGCTGGAGGACACCCGAGTACTCTTAAGCAATCCCCATGGTGAATAAAAAGGGGAGCTTGGAAGCATCAGGGTAACAATTAGACAAGGGTCGAGCAGGCACAAGGCTTCTTTGAGTCTGCTTCAGCAGCTCCTCAGAAAAGGAGTGAAGGTTAGCACTAGCCACTTTATGCAGTTTTTTAGTGCGGTAGAGAAATATTGCCCTGGTTTCCCAACTGAGGAACTATGGATGTAGAGGTCTGGGGGAAGGTAGGCGGCGCACTCAAAAAGGCATATAAGGATAGTGCTGAGGATATTCCTATAACTGTCCAGTCAGTGTGGGCTCTGATTCGCTCCACCTTGGAACCTTTTCACACTGACAATGAGGAGGAAGGAGATGAAGAAGCGGGGGAGTGTGATAACGTTGCCAAAGAGATAAAAGATCTGTCAACCACTTAAAGAGACCCAAGAAGGGGAAGCTTGTCCCTGCCCCTTGGCACCCCCTCAATACCTTGAAGATAGAGAATGGCCTGACCCTCCGGATCTTTCTTTTCCGGAGGACACTGGGCAAAAAGTAGTCGCCCCAGTGACTGTTCTAGCAGCGCCCCAAGCAACCATCCTCAGTTCTATTCAGATAGGAATTCAGCAAGCTAGAAGAGAGGATGATTTAGAGGCTTGGCAGTTCCCTGTTAGGATACATCCCCCAGATCAACAGGCGAATGTTATGGCTACATTTGAGCCTTCTCCTTTTAAATTACTCAAAGAGTTTAAACAGGCTATCAATCAGTATGAACCAGGTCTATGCCTGAAGTGTAAAAAAAGAAAGCATTGGGCCAGGTGCCTGTGACTCACGCCTGTAAGCCCAGCACTTTGGGAGGCTGAGGTGGGCGGATCATGAGGTCAGGAGATCAAGGCCATCCTGGCTAACATGGTGAAACCCATCTATACTAAAAATACAAAAAAAATTAGCCGGGCATGGTGGTGGGTGCCTGTAGTCCCAGCTACTCGGGAGGCTGAGGCAGGAGAATGGCGTGAACCCGGGAGGCGGAGCTTGCAGTGAGCCAAGATCCCGCAGCTGCACTCCAGCCTGGGCGACAGAGCAAGACTCCACTTCAAAAAAAAAAGGAAAAATGTCATTCTAAATTTGATAAAGACAGAAACCTGATTTCGTGAAACGCCATGAGGGGCCGTCCTGGGACCCGTTCTAAACCGGGGCATTCCCGGCTCAGGCCACTCCCTCACCCCTATACAATGCTTGTTGTGCCCCGCCATAGCCGGTAAAGCGGCAGTAGACAGTGTAGCACCAGGGCTGTGAGTCTCCTGCCTGGAGAGGCGCCACATAAAGTACCAACAGGAGTCTGCGGACCCCTGCCAGCAGGAAAGATAGGACTACTTCTGGGAAGATCTAGTTTAAATTTAAAAGGAGTGCAGGTTCATACAGGAATAATTGACTTGGATTGTAATGGGGAAATTCAGATCATTATATCCACCTCCCTTCCTTGGAAGGCAGAACCGGGAGAGCATATAGCACAGCTTCTGATTTTACCGTATGTGGGACTAGGAAAAAGTGAAACTAAAAGAACAAGGGGATTTTGCAGTACAAATAAACAAAGGAAAGCTACCTACTGGGTAAATCAAATTACTGATAAACGTCCTACCTGTGAAATAACTATTCAGGGAAAGAAATCTAAAGGTTTGGTAGATACAGGAGCAGACATTTCAGTCATTTCTCTACAGCACTGGCCGTCTGCATGGCTAATTCAACCCACTCAATTTAACACAGTTGGAGTTGGTAAAGCCCCTGAAGTATATCAAAGTGGTGAAATTTTGCATTGTGAAGGGTCCAATGGACAACCTGGGACTATTCAACCAATTATAACTTCTGAACCTCTAAATTTATGGGGGAGACATTTATTACAACAATGGGGAACACAAGTTTTAATTCCTGAGCAATTATACAGCCCTCAAAGTCAATATATGATGCACAAAATGGGGTATGTCCCTGCTATGGGACTAGGAAAAAATTTGCAAAGTTTGAAGGAACCGCTTCAAGCAGAAAGACAAAGTTTTCATCAAGGCTTAGGATACCATTTTTGATGGCGGCCATTGTTAAGCCTCCAGAACCTATCCCATTAAAATGGCTGACAGACACGCCAATATGGATAGAATAGTGACCGCTGAGTAAAGAGAAACTAGAGGTTTTAAATGAATTAATCAAAGAACAGCTTCAAAAGCGACAACGCTCTCCCCTTGGAATTCCCCAGTTTTCATAATTAAGAAAAAATCAGGTAAATGGAAAATGTTAACTGACTTAAGGACCATTAATTCAGTTATACAACCTATGGGGCATTACAGCCAGGACTGCCTTCTCCTGCTACAATTCCAAAAAATTGGCCTTTTTTTTTTTTTTTTTTTTGTTTTGAGGCGGAGTCTCACTCTATCACCCAAGCTGGAGTGCAGTGGCACAATCTCGGCTCACTGCAAGCTCCACCTGCCAGGTTCATGTCATTCTCCTGCCTCAGCCTCCCGAGTAGCTGGGATTACAGGCGCCCGCCACCACAACCAGCTAATTTTTTGTGTTTTTAGTACAGATGGGGTTTCACTGTGTTAGCCAGGATGGTCTCGATCTCCTGACCTCGTGATCCGCCCGTCTCGGCCTCACAAAGTGCTGGGGTTACAGGCATGAACCACTGCGCCCGGCCAAAAACTGGCCTTTAATAGTCATAGATTTAAGACTGTTTCTTTACTATCCCCTAAGCTGATCAGGACTGTGAATGGTTTGCATTTACAATTCCTGTGGTAAACAACCTGCAGCCTACTAAGCATTTTCATTGGAAAGTGTTGCCACAAGGCATGTTAAACAGTCCAACAATTTGCCAGATGTGTGTAGGGCAAGCAATTGAACCTACTCATAAAAGATTTTCACAGTGTTACATTATTCATTATATGGATGATATTCTTTGTGCTGCCCCAACTCAGGAAATATTACTCCAATGTTATGATCACTTGCAAAATTTGGTTTCTTGTGCCGGTTTAATTATAGCGCCTGGCAAAATTCAGACTACTACTCCTTACTCCTCCTTAAGGACCTTAGTAAATGACACTACAATAGTGCCACAAAAAGTAACCATACGTAAGGATCAATTAAAAACACTGAATGACTTTCAAAAATTACTAGGGGACATTAATTGGATACAGCTTACTCTAGGCATTCCTACTTATGCCATGAGTAATCTGTTTTCTATCCTTAGAGGAGATCCCAGTCTCACAAGTCCTCAGTAATTAACAAAAGAAGCTGAGGCAGGGCTGCAGCTAATCAAAAAGCAAGTCCATAAGGCCCAAATAAATAGAAGAGATCCAGAGAAGACTCTAGATTTGCTAATTTTTCCAACTCATCATTCACCTACTAGGGTTATTGTCCAAGAGCAAGATCTTGTAGAGTGGGTTTTCCTTCCACGTACTGATTCACGGACTTCAACTTCTTATTTGGATCAAATCACTACTATGATAGGAAATGGGAGAACTCTGATTGTTAAATTACATGGATATGATCCTGAAAAAATTATTGTCCCTCTCACGAAGGCAGAAATACAGCATGCTTTTATAAATAGTCTTACTTGGCAAACCCATTTAGCTGACTTTGTGGGTATGCTAGATAACCATTTTCGTAACACAAAACTGCTTCGATTTTTTAAATTAACTAACTGGATTCTCCCTAAAATAACTAAATTCAAACCAATTAAAGGTGCTGAGAATGTCTTCACAGATAGGTCTAGTAATGGTAAAGCCTCTTATTCTGGATCAAAAGGTGAAGTTTTTCAGACGCCCTACACTTCAGCTCAAAAAGCAGAGCTTATAGCTGCAATTGAGATATTGACTGCTTTTAATATGCCTATTAAAGTGATTTCTGATTTTTCATACGTGGTTCATTCTATACAGTTAGTTGAAAATGCTCAGCTACGATTCCACACAGATGAGCAACTGGTGACTTTATTTACCCAACTGCAAACAGCAGTTAGGAGTAAAATGCACCCTTTTTACATCATTCACATTAGAGCTCATACACCACTTCCAGAACCTTTGACTGCAGGGAATCAAATGGCTGATGGCCTAGTTGCTACTGCAATATCTAATGCTAGACACTTTCACAATTTAACCCATGTTAATGCCTCTGGTGTCAAACGAAGATATAGCATTACCTGGAAAGAAGCTAAAGCTATTATCCAGTGATGCCCAACTTGCCAATGGTGCACTCCTCGTTTTTTTTTTTTTTTTTTTTTGAGACGGAGTCTCGCTCTGTCACCCAGGTTGGAGTGCAGTGGCGCAATCTCGGCCCACTGCAAGCTCTGCCTCCTGGGTTCACGCCATTCTCCTGCCTCAATCTCCTGAGTAGCTGGGACTACAGGTGCCTGCCACCGCCCCCGGCTAATGTTTTTGTATTTTTAGTAGAGGCAGGGTTTCACCGTGTTAGCCAGGATGGTCTCGATCTCCTGACCTTGTGATCCACCCGCCTCGGCCTCCCAAAGTGCTCGGATTACAGGCGTGAGCCACCTCGCCAGGCTAACTTTAAATATTTTGAGCCTGCCTAAAGGTCGATTGTTATTGGCAGCTGAAGAACATTTACAGAAGCCAGCTAGCTGCAAAGGCAGAAGTGGAACAACAGGTTTGGTGGAAAGACCCCATAATGAAAGGTTGGGAAACAGGTAAAATAATAACATGGGGCAGGTTATGCTTGTGTTTCTCCAAGACCGAATCAACAGCCAATCTGGGTGCTATCGAGACATCTAAAACCCTACTATGAGCCAGATACCCAGGAAGAGGTTTTGGGAGGATCTCGAAGAACCTGAGGAAGGCGGGACAACCAGTCACAATGAGTAATTTAATGATAGCTATGATAGCGGTGATCACCATTGCCATAAGTATTCCTTCAGCAAGTGCTGACACAGAGAACAATTCTACTTATTGGGCATATTTACCTTTTCCACCACTTCCATAGCCTGTAACTTGGCTGGATCCCCCAATGGAGGTATATACTAATGATAGCTCTTGGTTGCCTGGTCCTACAGATGATAGAGGCCCATCTCACCCACATGAGGAAGGAACTGTTATGAATATTTCTTTATGATTTGAACATCAGCCTATCTGTTTGGAAAAGGCCACTAGTTGCCTACCCCCTTGCTATCAATCTTGGCTGGCAATAATGCCTGGATGTATCACTCTGTGGCACAGTTACACATGCTTTCTGGTCTCCGTATTTACCATAATGAATCTGCTCCTGTAAACTGAGGCATACTGCCCTCAAAAACCTATTTGTAAATAGGATTGGGCCTGGTCAGAAAAAAATGAATGTATTTGTTTGGGAAGATTGCATTGCAGAACAGGCAGAGGTGCTGCACAACGATTCCTATGGAATCATTATTGATTGGTTCCCTAAGGGGATGTGTAGCATAAATTGCACCTCTCAGTCTGCGTGCCACGGCCACACTATGTTCAGCTGCTCTGAACAAAACGATCAGATAGTAGAAATGATAAGAAGTATGGCAAGAGTTCCTATTATCTGGAAACATAGCAGTATAGTGGCACCTCAACCTCAAATGATATGGCCTGCTGCAGGAGCTAAACATAAGGATTTGTGGAAACTATTAATGGCTCTTAATAAGATCAAGATTTAGGAAGGACAACATACTACGCAATCACAATATAATCCCAATTACATTTCAGAACCTGTTGAAAACAATACAATTTGGATACAAAGTTGTGTTCGCCCTCCTTTTCTGTTGGTAATAGGTGATCTAAAGTTTGACATCCCTAATTATCATGTAACTTGCCAGGAATGTAGATTGTTCTCTTGTGTGAATTCTAATACTAATCATTCTATCCTAGTAGTGAGAGCTCAAGGAGTATGGTTACCAGTGAGGCTTTCTCATCCTTGGGAAACCTCTCCCTCTGTACATATTATTACTGAAATTCTTCAGAAAATTCTGAGACGCTCTTGGTGTTTCATTGCTACTTTAATCTTAATTATTATGGGACTGATCACTGTCACTGCTATTGGTGTGGCAGCCGGAGTTGCGCTACATTCATCAGTGCGGACAGCAGATTTCGTAAATAAATGGCAAAAGAATTCTACTTTGCTGTGCAACTCTCAAACTAAAATAGACCAAAAGATAGTTAATCACATCAATGATCTCTGACAAACTGTAATGTGGCTAGGAGATCAAGTAGTTAGTTTGGAATATACAATGCAGTTAACATGCGACTGGAATACTTCTGACTTTTGTTTGTTTTTTTTTTTTTTTTTTTTTTGAGACGGGTTTGCTCTGTTCGCTCGGGCGGAGGGGCAGTGCCGAATCCAGCCACTGCAAGCTCCCGCTCCCGGTTACGTCCATTTCCTGCCCTCAGCCTCTGAAGTAGTCTGGGACTACAGTGCCTGCCACCTCGCCCGGCTATTTTTTTTGTATTTTTTAGTAAGGACGGGGTTTCCACCGTGTTAGCCAGGATGGTCTCGATCTCCTGACCTCGTGATCCGCCCGTTCTCGGCCTCCCAAGTAGCTGGATTACAGGGCTTGAGCCACCCGGCCTGGCCGACTTCTGAACTTTGTATCACTCCCTTACCCTTATAAGAATCAGAGCAATGAACAGAAAAGAATAAAAAGCATCTAGACGCTACAAAACTCGTCTTTAGAGGTTGCAAAATTAAGAGAACAAATATTTAAAGCATCCCAGGCACACCTGACCTTAATGCCAGGAAGTGGAGTGCTTGAAGGAGCTGCAGATAGATTGGCAGCCATAAATCTTTTGAAATGGATAAAAACACTTCGATGCCTCTATGAATTATCTATGATAGTTGTGCTATTAATCTGTGTTATTTTCTTGTGTAGTCTGCAGATGCAAATCCCAACTCTGGGAAAGTAGCTCACCATTATAAAGCTGCCTTGTTTATTGCCTGCAAAAACAAAAAGGGGGACATGCTAGGGAACAGTCCCCAAGACTGGCCATAAACAAGATCTCTGCAGCCACTGTGACATGCTCATGATGGCTATGACACTCACACTGGGAGGTTGCTGGTTTACTGGAATGAGGGCAAGGAACACCTGGCCCACCCAGGGTGGAAAACCATCAAGGCGTTCCCTTAAACCACAACAATGGCATGAGTGATCTGCACCTTAAGGACATGTTCCTGCTGCAGATAACTAGCCAGAGCCTGTTCCCTTGTTCTCACGAGAATACTTGTAATCTATAACTGCAGAACAAATGTTTATCTCGGGCTATGATCCAAACTATGTGGGTCCAAACTCTGTTTGAGCTCTCACTCTGAAGGCTGTTAGCCCCTGATCCCACTTTGCACTCTATTCTCGGTGTCTGTGTCTTTATTCCTGTAGCACTGCTGGATTGGGGTCTCCACACCCGACTGGTCTCGGCAGTTACAGGCATGTGCCACCATGCCAGCTAATTTTGTATTTTTAGTAGAAGACAGGGTTTTCTCATGTTTGGTCAGGCTGGTCTCAACTCGTGACTCAGGGTGATCCGCCCACCTTGGCCTCCCGAAGAACTGGATTACAGCATGGCCACCTCGTGCCCCAGCCAATCCTGACTTTTCGTTTCCCAACTCCCATAGCCTATTTGACCAGGAATCAGTCCCCATGACCTAGGAAGAAGCAACACACACTGCCAAAGCCTACTACTACCCCTACTTCATTTCTGAGAGGCATACCTCAGTGGCCCATCCTATTCAGTGATATTTTATTATGACCCCTTGTGGCAGATAACACTGGTTGGCCCATTTAACACACATGCCCAATCAAATTTTCCCTCACCTTCCTCTAGCGTGGAGGCAGGAAAGCATCATGTTCAATTCCCTAGCCTCATAACTTAACAGACATACGACAAAGATGTGGCCAACTGTTTTTTTTTTTTTTTTTTTTTTTTAGACAGAGTCTCACTTTTGTTACCCAGGCTGGAGTGCAGTGGCGTCATCTTGGCTCTCTGCAACCTCCACCTCCCAGGTTCAAGCAATTCTCCTGCCTAAGCCTTTGGAGTAGCTGGGATTACAGCCTCCACACCCGGCTAATTTTTTGAATTTTTCATAGAGATGGGGTTTCACCATGTTGCTCAGGCTGGTCTCAAACTCCTGACCTCAGGTGACCCACCTGCCTCAGCCTCCCAAAGTGCTGAGATTACAGGGTGAGCCACTGCGCCTGGCCCAATAAGACTTTTTTTTTTTTTTCCCAAGACGGAGTCTTGCTCTGTCGCCCAGGCTGGGGTGCGGTGGCATGATCTTGAGTCACTGCAACCTCTGCTTCCTGGGTTCAAGCGATTCTCCTGCCTCAGCCTCCCGAGTAGCTGGGATTATAGGTGCCTGCCACCATGCTGGCTAATTTTTGTATTTTTGGTAATGAGGGGGTTTCACCATGTTTGCCAGGCTGGTCTTGAACTCTGGACTTCGTGATATGCCCATCTCAACCTCCCAAAGTGCTGGGATTACAGGCGTAAGCCACCGCATGTGGCCCCCAATGAAACTTTTTTAAAGGCCCTCCCTTCATCTACAATTCTTTCTTCCTGCTTGGATCTTGCAGAGGATGCAACCATTTTGTGACCATGAGGTGACAAGCATGATTTCAAAAGATCATCTACTAGGAAGATGAAGCAGAAATCAAGGGCCCAAGTCTCAGACAGCTTTGCTGAGCCAAGCTCACCCAGGCTACCTACTTCCAAGCTTCTTGTTGTGTTAGACAAATCTATCCCTCATTTGTTCAAGCCATTTTTTAGAAGACTTTCTACAATCTGCAACAAAACACCTCTCTAACCAAAATACCTAGCCAAGGACAATAAACATTTATTGCTTCCTCGTTTTTTCTGCTGTGAGCAAAACATTTGTCTTGCTAAGGGCTTGATTAGACCTTCTAGATTTGACAACACACTAAACACTTATTTTCAACATAATAACTCCCACGAGCTGGCCACACAGTCAATATTTACAGAAAAGATGTCAGGACTGCTGCTGCTTTACCTGCATCACGTCAAGTCCGGGATGTAGAAACTTTGAGATGAAATGCCGAAGCTTCAACTAGGATTGCTAGTTTTTAATTTGTACTGAAAAAATAGTGATAGGCACTCTTCCTGGATGAGGAAGGATTTCCTTACAGCATGTACAAATCACAAAGGGGAAAGATAAGAACTGTCACAGCTGTTCAAAGAATAGGTTGCTCTCAAAATGGGTATCTACAGTTATGGCTCTGAGAATGGGATGCCTTTCAATCACTTCTGAAAG